AAATGCTTTCAATACAAACTCACGAGGAAAAATAATAGTATAACGTCCCTTCGACCACCACTAAACGTACCATTAATACACTTAACTAACGAACAAAAATATTGGGAATGAACCGTATTTCCAACAGTAATTAGGGCGCGAATTTACCTGTAAAGATGGCTTAACACCCACTGGTGTCTCCAAACTAAAAAATAAAACCCAAACCTTTTCTAGTTATGCCGATAGAATGACAATAATTTTTTTTTTTCAAATTAGCACAAAAATTGATAAAAATGCAAAATATGCACCCGTTCCGTGAAATATGCAGCCGAAGGCAAATATTCATTTTTAATTAGCATGATTCGTTCACATATTAAATATCAAAACTTATATGCAAAAAATAACAGATATGCAAATTTCATAAAATCCGCTCTCTGTTCATAACTATCATCAGTTGAACTTAGCTAATAAAAGTTTTAAAGAAGTGACATCTCTTATCGAAGAGAACGATAGAAATGCTGTCCACTTATCCACACTAACCCATTATTCATTTCTATTTTATATGTTTATCATACTAATACCATTTTATATCATATACAGGGTGCCGCATCCAAGTCTGGACATAGAAAATTAACATGGCAAATTGGTTTTTATTGTAAAATATCTCCGCAGATCACATTAAAGCTATTATTGAGTAATGCTTTGTGGAGGTCTGGAGGTGGAGTATTTTTTTTCAAATCGTTGCATCGCGCTCATTCACTATAAAAAGGTTTTAAAAATCGTACTTTGAAATTCGCACTGTCGAAGTTCGGCGATCGCGTCTTTGGATTAATCATGCAAAATCAAAATGTCAAAGTGAAATAAGAAATTAATCTCAGAAATCAACGAACCACTCAAACTGAAATATTTTGTCCAGTGTGATGATTATTGTAGGACACATTAAACGGAATAAATGTACAAATTTATCCGTTTATTCGTCATAGTGCGAGATCCCGTCAAACGAACCATCTCGAACTACACTCAGGCCGTATCCAAAAAGCCCGAGATGAAGACTTCGAGCAGTTCGGCTTTCTCAAAACCCCATCGGCAGCATTGTGACATGTCCTGGGAGCCCGTCAAGCTACGAATCTACTCGCGCTGCGTCACTCAGTAATTAATGAAAAACTCAAATTGAATTATTTTATCCAATATGATTATTATAGGTCAATTTAAATGGAACAAATGCACAAACTGCACCAAATATTTTATTAGGAACATTTCGAGACAAATCGACTCGGGCGCGAATTTCAAAATACGATTTTTAAAACCTTTTTACAGTGAATGAGCGCGATGCAACGACTTGAAGAAAATACTGGCCGATAGCCCTCCTCGACCTCCACAAAGGCATCACCCAATAATAGCTTTAAAGTGATCTGGGGAGATATTCTAAATTAAAAACCAATTTTCATGTTAATTCCCTATATCCAGACTTGGATGCGGCACTCTGTATAAAATTAAATGTTTACACTGCTATTACAAACGTTGCAATCCAGGAGGAGATAGGGCTAGAATAAGTACGCGTAATTCCGTCACTAATAACCGAGGAGGGTAGAATAAGAACGGAGGGAGCATGTCGTATGCTTTCAATGGTACGATTTTGGCCCAAAATCAACTACCGCAAACACCGTTTACGATCGGTCTGTCGACTGTGCGCATGGGCGAACTGGCTACAAACTCGAGAAAAGCCCATCGTACTCCATGGGCGTACATCTCAGTTATTTTGTTCCATCATGTGCTGTGTATCTTTATACATTGAGGCGTGTTGTTTTTAATAAATTCAACATGGTGAATTGCAAACTTTGTAAGTCGTGGAATGGTAGTAAACAATCTGTGAAAGACAGACTTAGTTTTCATAAGTAAGTAATAAATTTATAAGTTGAGTAACTTTGCCCGCCACTGTTTAGCGATTCTGTAGAAACTGGGGGCGTGGTTTAGCCGAGCGGGTATTCCAAACACCGTCATAAACGGTGTCTGGATTTCGGACGGTCGGTTCCACATTTTTCGACCGTATTATCCCTCCGTTCTTATTCTACCCTCCTCGCTAATAACATAATTTCAAGCTGGTGTAGGAAAAAGACCCGACAGGTTGCACCTTCCAAAGACATTCATCTCCGAAATCTGACTCATCACACGCCAGGCATTACCACAGATGACGCCTAAATATAAATGAGGAAATTCGTACTAAGGGGGGGGGGGGGTGTTAAATTCCAAATCTGTTGGTTTGTTTTATCTAGATTATTTATGCAGTCAATGAATAATTGTATCCCTATGTCACTTTCTTTGTTATTATTTTGATTTATAAAGGAGCCGTACTATTGTAATCATTAAGAATATAGTCAAGTCTTGTTCCCCGATCGACTACACTGTGTAAATCATCCTAATTGTCTTCAGTCTAATGAAACCTGTTAGTAGTGATTGTGCTGCGTTTCATTTCGAGGCATAACACACTGGTATGCCAAATGCAAAAAGTGCAGAAAGTTTTAATAATACTTAACTTACATTTTAAATTAATTGCTTTTTGGTTAGATACTTCAAGTAAATATTTTAAAAGCTAGATTTAAGACAACGATAAACATGAAGTGTTTATTGACGCCTTAGTTGAAAATTTTACAATCAAATCACGACATTTGATCTTATTTAAGTAGTAATTCATATTTATCTAAGTACTTGTTTCCATTTGCGCCGCAGCGGATAAGATATTATCTATTTTCCAAGAATTGGTTTCGCAATTAATTTGTATTCAGTACAGTACAGAAAGACAAAACAAAATTGGCAGTCAAATAGAAAATATTTATTACATGCTAAAACTTTCTGTACATCTTCTCATGAAATTTTTTAATTATAAAAAAAGTAATCGCTGGAAATTTGCCACAGTTTTGTAGAAAATTTATTGGTGCTTTTGATGGTTAACAGAGAAACTGAAGTTAAACAGAAACATTACATGATATAACAATTGTTTTCGCTATATAGATAAATAAATAAATTAATCAATAAATACAATACAAATCTTCAGAATATCTGAAGACACAGGATGTAGGTATGTGTATATGTCCACCATAAAATACTGTTTTTCTTTTGATTTTCGTCTTTCGTCAGTTGTGTTCCGCTAACTGTGAATTTTGTGTTGATTAGAAAGAAAAAAAATACGGCTGGAAAAAGCTCCAATGGTTGTATTATTCCACACATACTTTATTCACATATGCAATATTCTTCTCATACCGATTAACTTCTTGTTAATTGTTATCAAAAAAGAATAAACACAACGAAACATATTTATAAACGTTTATCACCAGTTTTCAATAAAAATGTCGCAGATCACCGACAAAAACAGTGCCCTGTACGCAGCGTAGAATCTGGTAGTTTAAAACATTAGGCAAAACTTTGAGAAGATATTTTTTCCAATGGGTTATTTGATGCATTTATTCCCTCTGTAATTTATAAATAACCGTTTGTGCGGCGCATTTTCAGGTCTCAGTCTGAGGTATTTCTTGTACAGTTCCAAATAACTGATCGACTTCTTTTGATCATTAACAATGTTAAATCGTTGCGACTTTTGTGTCTAATAAGTGTCAGGTTCGTGATAAATTTAAATTACGCCTGGCATGTGTTGCTCCAATGGCAAAATCAGTTTGCCACCAATGACTGAATCACCAGAACAACTGCTCACTTACTTTGCTGGAGTTACTCGGGAGTCCAAACACTTCTACAGCATATTCGGAAATACAACTCATGCTTTCAGATGACATCGTTTGGAGCGACGAATATTGTGAGATATAATAATTTTATGCCCACATTTAAAGTGCAAGGACAAGTGTATCATCAGATTGGTTCACTCCTTCCAGTATCCAAAAAAGATCCGCAATTTTTGCAAATTTATTTCATGGACAATGTGGAGAAGGAGATTGATCGACGATGCGCATTTAGTGTAGCAACAGATCGAAAGATTATTGCTGAATTACGAGCATTATTCCACGAGCACAACTGTTTGGTCCGAGATTTCAAATCCGCATTGGAGAATGTAAGAGCGGATGACTTCAAACTCATTATCAGAGCAGACAAAACCCCATCGAATGAGCATGAAAGACGCTTCAATGCTCCAATAGCCCCTGAAGTAGCAGCTGTAATTATCGGTACAGAAATTACTCGGCGAGATATTATTATCACTATCAGCAGGCGAAATCAAACCAAGCAACGTATTGCTGAAACACATCGATCGTACGACGCACTTCAATATCCAATTCTATTTCCGCTAGAGAAGACGGTTATCATCTCGAATTGTATCAAACTCATCCCGTCACAGGTGCTGCGACAACGAAAAAAGTCAGTTGTATGGATTTTTATGCATATCGCATCATGATTCGAGCCGAACAATCCAACCATATCTTAAAGTGTCGTCATGTTTTTCAACAATTCATCGTTGATATGTACGCCAAAGTCGAAAGCGAACGACTCAATTACATTCGTTACAATCAATCGAAGCTTCGAGTCGAAGATTATATTCATTTGCGAGATGCAATCGCGAATGATGGAACAATTGGTAACATTGGACAAAGGGTTATACTTCCAGCTTCGTATACTGGAAGTCCAAGACATATGCAAGAATATGCTCAGGATTCTCTGACATATGTTCGCAGATATGGACGTCCAGATCTTTTCATCACGTTCACATGCAATCCATCTTGCTGTGAAATCAAAGATTTACTTTTGCCTGGCCAGCAACCAACTGATCGGCATGACCTCACAGCGAGAGTTTTCAAACAAAAATTGATACGTTTTATGGATCTCATCACTAAGAACCATATATATGGAGAAACTCGCTGTTGGATGTATTCCATCGAATGGCAGAAAAGAGGTCTACCACATGCTCATATCTTAATTTAGTTGGTTGAAAAAATTGTTCCAACTCAAATTGATGATATCATTACTGCTGAGCTGCCCAACGCAGAAGAAGATCCAGAATTATTTGAAATTGTGAAAAAAATATGATTCACGGACGATGTGGGGGACACAACCCACACTCGCCATGCATGAAAGACGGAAAATGCACCAAAAAGTATCCACGCCAGCTGCTGTAAGAAACACAAACTGGTGGCGACGGTTATCCGTTGTACAGACGACGAAAACCAGATGATGGAGGATACACCACAACTATCAAAATCAATAACGTTGATTTCGAAGTTGATAACCGATGGATTGTGCCCCACTCTCCTATCCTTTCGAAATCATTCAATGCACATATCAACGTGGAGTCCTGTAATTCAGTTAAGACAAAATACATATGCAAATACGTGAATAAAGGCAGCAATATGGCAATTTTCGGAATTGCGAATCCCAATGCGCCCGTCAATGAAATCGAGCAATTTCAAATGGGACGTTACATTAGCAGCAATGAAGCTGTATGGAGAATTCTTGGTTTCGACATTCATGAACGCTTTCCTGCTGTCATGCATCTCAGTGTTCACTTGGAAAACGGTCAACGAGTCTACTTCACGGAAGACAACGCACCCCAACGAGTTGCAGATCCACCAAATACAACGTTGACCGCTTTTTTCCAATTGTGTGCAACTGACGAATTCGCAAAAACATTAATGTATCACTAAGTCCCGCAGTACTACACTTGGAATCAATCGACGAAGAAATTTTGCAGAAGAAAACGAGGCGCCAGGCATTCTTCTATAGCTGGCATATTTTCTACTGGTGCACTGGGAAGAGTATATACTGTTCATCCAAATAATGGTGAATGCTACTATTTGCGAATGCTGCTTCACGTGGTCAAAGGACCAACATCGTTTCAAGCAATCAAAACAATCGATGGTCAAGAGTGTGAGACATACAGAGAAGCATGTTTTAAACTTGGTTTGCTTGAAAATGATCAACATTGGGACAACACATTAGCGGAAGCATCTGAGACACCTCATGCCCATCAAATACGAACTCTGTTTGTCATAATTTTGACAACCTGCGCACCTTCTGATCCGAAAGGTTTATGGGAAAAACACAAAGAGAGTATGAGCGAAGACATACTTCTCCGAGCACGCAGAAATAATCCCGGCTTGGATGTACAGTATTCGGAATACATTTTCAATGAAGCACTGATATCAGTTGAGGATGTGTGTATGTCGATTAACAACAAAATCCTCGATCAGCTTGGGCTGTTTTCACCGGAACGTGACAGAAACGACGTTATCGATAGAGACGTATTGCGAGAAAAGCAATACGACGTCGATGCGCTACAAGTTGCATACGACACAATTATGGAGCATGTGCGAGGCGGAAATGGTGGACTTCTTTTTCTTGATGCACCAGGAGGCACAGGAAAAACATTTCTACTCAATTTGATACCCGCCGAAATTCGAATGAAACATGAGATTGCTTTGGTTGTGGCATCATCGGGGATTGCAGCAGCATTACTCGATGGAGGACGCACGGCGCATTCGGTTCTCAAGCTGCCATTGAATTTAAATCTAGCTGCTGATCCTCTTTGCAACATTGGAAAAACAACTGGAATGCCAACTGTATTGAAAACATGCCAACTCATTATTTGGGATGAATATACTATGGCCCATAAGAAAGGACTTGAAGCACTTGATCGTACTCTGCGAGATTTCCGAAGCGATGAACGTCCACTGGGCGGAGTTCTGATCCTGCTCGCAGGTGATTTCCGTCAAACTTTGCCCGTAATTCCTAGATCAACACCAGCAGACGAATTGAATGCATGCCTGAAAAATTCGTCTCTCTGGAGACATGTGAAAAAATTACACTGTCGACCAATATGCGTGTGCATTTACTTGGAGATGTTTCTGCACAAATATTTGCCAAACAACTTTTGGATATCGGCGATGGCAAACTTTTGGCTGATCCTACAACACAGGAGATAGCGTTCCCTCCGAACTTCTGTCAACTTCAGTCATCAATTGAAGAACTTGAAGAGAGAGTTTTCTCAAACATCGCCAACAACTTTAGAAATCATGATTGGCTTTGCGAGGGAGCTATCTTAGCTCCAATGAATGATGATGTCAATCGAATCAATAATAAGATTCAATTAAAAATTCCTGGGGTGATTACGGGATACAAATCGATTACAGTTACAGAATAGTTGGAGCCTCCTGGAATGCCACCGCACATACTGACGTTAAAAGTTGGCTCACCAACACTGCTCCTTCGAAATCTCAATGCCCCGAAGTTATGCAATGGAACCAGACTTTCAGTGAAAAAACTGATGCCGAATGTGATTGAAGCAACAATAATTAACGGCAAATGTAAACGTCAAGATGTGCTGATTACGCGCATTCCAATGGTTCCTACTGATTTGCCCTTTACATTCAAACGACTACAGTTTCCTGTGCGTCTTGCTTTCGGGATGACAATCAACAAAGCCCAAGGGCACTCTCTGCGCGTTGCCGGATTAAATTTAGGAAATCCATGTTTTTCGCATGGTTAACTATATGTTGCTTGCTCCAGAGTAGGAACTCCAAAAACTCTGTACGTCTATACACCAAATCGAAAAACCAAAAATATTCTTTACCCACTAGCGTTACGATAGATGTTATTATTGATTAAAATGTGTTCAAGTTGTTTCAGTTATATAGCGAATACAATAGTCAAAAATTTTGTTCATTCACGTGAATTACTAATACAAAAATGTGTACATTGTGTATACTAATGAAAATAAATGGAATAGCATCAATATGAGTTATCTTAGTATTAATTTTTCCACAGTTTTCTACAACGCATTCTGCGCTTCAGACCAGACATTTATACCCACATATATACAAAGTAAATATATACACAAGCAGGACAACGTCTGCCGGGTTCCGCTAGTTACTCATAAATGAATATTTCGAGAAGTATTTTTTTTTGACACAACAAACTCGTTTCCTTGATAACTTAATTTTCGTTTGTAATTTAATATTTAATTTAACCGGTTTGGAGGAAAATTTCGTATGCATCTCTGTAATAAACTTTCTTAATCCCTCTCGACTGAAAAACACTTAGTCTCATGATTAATAGAGCAGTTTATTCCCTTGATGCATAAATAATTGTTATTGAAGGTACACTCATTACTTTTTGTTGTGTGTATTTGTCATTGAGTCCAACTCCATTCGATTGAAAACCTGCATTCATTTACTTTGAATTGGTAAACAGTAATTAGAAACCTCGTTTTGATATATCGCTACAAATTAAGTGTCACAAATAAGCATTTATTCTGTTTGAAAACTTGTTCTAATTGATGCACTCCAGACATTATACTTATATTTAAATTGTGGAAAAACAATTTATGTGTTTAAATAAAAAATATATATATCTATATCATCAGTTGTTGAAGATGGCAGCAAATAACAAAACCGTTTTTCAGACCCAGGCCGAAGTGGTAATGTAACCACCAAAGTAAAATTAAATGTTTCTTTACTAAGCTCTTGACTCTAGATAATAACGAGACCTATCGAACACATTGTACAAGCGGGTCCAGAAAATCGTAACCTTTTGAAATTGTTCGTTTGTTCTTTTAATAGTTGGGTCAAGTGTCCCCAAGACGCAGTACAAGTATGTGCCGATATAGGAAATGCATTACATGATATGGTTCTTATGTAAGTTTACGTTGTATTTATAGATTAATTATTATTTATTCATTTCTGTTCTACTTCTCGCAGACTAGATGATATTCAAGATGAAACGATTCTTCGCAGAGGACTTCCTGCAGCACATATGGTTTATGGAATTCCCCTAACTGTCCATGCTACATTATATAAGACTTTTCTAATAATGCAAAATTTACTCTGCTATGCAGAAAATAGGAAGGTGATGTTGAGAGAATACATAGATGACTAATTTTGAAAATTTGTGTCTGTTTTATTGTTTCTGCTCTTTTTTAGGACATCGCCCTTGATGATTTTATTGAGTTGGGTATTCGAATGTTCACTGGGCAAGGACTAGAAATATACTTTAGAGACATTCAACGATGTCCCACTTTTCACGAGTACAATAGTCTAATCCGTGGCAGTAAGTAAAACTTTTTTACGAATTAGTCTGTTCTTAATAATAATATAGGTATACAATATAGCACATTTTTACCGATTGTAGAATGCACCGCTGTTATAAAATGGGGCGTCCAGTTGTTAAAATTCTGTGCCAAAAAAGAGAAAATGGAATTTAGTGAAAATCTATATAATAAATTAGGCCTAGTTCTTCAAGTATATGGCGACTACATTAATTTGCACAACGCGAAGATAAGGAAACTATTTATAGCATTTAAATTTTGTTTAATAATTTTCCACTTCAGTACGCCACTGTTCGTGTTTTCTGTGACGATCTTGATGAGGGAAAATTCAACTTTCCTATAATTCACGGCATTCAAAGCCACCCGAACGATCATCGGCTTTTGGGTATTCTTTACGTTAAATACTTCATCGGGAATCCAAGATTACTTCTCTTTTCTTAATTATTTATTTTAGATATGTTAAAACGAAGACCACTAGATATGGAAAGTAAGAAACTCTTTGTAGACATACTGGAAAGTTTTGGGAGTTTCGAGTATACACGAAAGGAACTGGAAAAGTTGAAAAATGGAATTCTGACTGATGCAGACAACATGAATATGGGCAAAAATCCATATTTGAAACGAGTTCTGGAAGATTTGTTGGGTAATTTGGAAACGGAAATTTATTTCGATGATTGTGACTAAAATATACATAGCAGCTGTAGTAGTGGTGTTTAGAACGACCATTTTTGTGTATATATTTCTATGTAATCCATTTAATTTTATAACGTTATTTTTAATAGTTCGTCAGCGTTGGTAAAAAATGTACAGGTAAAAATTACATGATGAGAAACATTTAAAATTTTGAATAAAACAAATGTACAGGGTAAACCCACCTATGAAAAACAACTGAAATTTTTGAAACGTCACGAACGTCAGAACAAAACTGTCAGATGTGTAAAAAATTGAATTGCCAGGTTTGTGGTTGCGGTGTTAAGGAGCATCTGTGAATGCTACTGCAATATATTTGACCTTCAAAAAGTGTGTTTCCGTTAATTTATGGCAGCCACCTACATCTGGGATGCCTACTATAAAGAGTGTCCGGTGCAGATGGGTAATCAAAAAATTAAAATATCTGAAAACTGAAAATCCAGAAATTGAAAAGTTCTCAATATTCAAATCCTGAAAAATTGAGTATTGAAAACTGGAAAAATTGAAAAATCCAAGCATCAAAAAATTGTAAAATTGAAAAATGAAAAATTTAAAAATTCGAAAAATTGAAAAATTAAAATATCGAAAAATTGAAGAGTTGGGAAACCGAAACACCAAAAAAATCAAAAAAACAAAAATCTAAAATTCAAAAATCAAAAAATTGAACACTCGAAAAGCCAAAAAATCGAAAAATCGAAATATCCGAATGTTCAAAAACTGAAACATCGAGAAATCAAAACATCAACAGTAGAGGAGTCAAAAAATCAAAAAATTAAGAAATCAAATTAGACCAAAATTGAAAAATCGAAAAGTTAATAATTGAAAAATTGAAATAGTGAAAAAATTCAAAACTGAAATCTTGAAAAACTGAAAAATGGAAAGAAAATTGAAGAATCGGAAAAGTGAACAAATCCAAAACTGAAACATTGAAAAATTCAGAAATAGAAAAATTGAAAAACCACAGTTGAAGAAAGAATTGAAAAATCGAGAAATAGAGAAATCGGAAAATAAAAAAATCAGTTAATCGAAAAATTGAGAAATCGAAAGATTTAGAAACGTCAAAAATTGAAAACTGAAAAATAAAAAAATATAAAAATCGTAAAACTGAAACATCGGAAAATTGAGAAATCGAAAAATGAAGAAATTCGAAAAACCGAAAATATGAAGAATCGAGAAATCGAAGAATCGATAAATTGAAAAATCCCAACAGTAATATATTGAAAAATTGAGGAATCGAAATCGAGCAAAACTGAAGTATCGTAAAGTTAATAAATTGAAAAACTGAAAATTTTTGAGAAAAAAATCTTATCAAAAACTAAAAATTCAAAAAATCGAGAACTTGAACAATCAAAAATCAAAACATTGAAATCCCAGCAAGTTGATAAATAAGAAAATTTAAAAAGCAAAAATTTTAAAAATCCAAGAATTGAACAAAAAAAAATCCAAGCCTGAAAACTCAGAAAATCGAATGATCGAGAACTCAAAACATCAAAGAAAACAAAAAATGTAAAATTTAAAAATTCGACAAATTGAAAAATCATGGAACTGAAAAATCGATAAGTCGAGATAGTGAGAAATCTAAAAACCTAAAACTTTAAAATCTGAAAAATTAAAATTATACATTTTTCCGAATCTGTACGCAGTAGTTAAGATTTTCTTGACACCGCCAGTGACCAGTCGTGAAGCTGAAAGAGCTTTTTCTAAATTGAATTTTATTAAAAATAAATATAGATCGACAATGAAAAACGAAAGACTAAGTTCTTTGTCGATTCTTGCAATTGAAAATGACATCAGAAGGTCAGTTACGTACGACAGCGCCATACGAACGTATGCTGACCTCAAGTGCAGAAAGAAAATTGTTATATAATTTGTTTCTGTTTGTTTATTATATTTAATTTTTGTATTTTTTGTTATTGTTTTTTTTATATTAAAGTATTGAAAATGTGTAAATTAAATGCTTCTAACAAACTTCTATTCATAAATGGGGCCCCAATTAAATAATAGCAACAGGCCCCCAACAGCCTAGATCCGCCTCTGACTTATGTGGTGTTAAAAATAAAAATTCCAATATTAGTGTAATCGTTTCCACGAAACTATGAAAGGCGGCACACAATGTCAATAAAGTCATGACCTTCCTTGACTATAATATTTTATAATGACCCTGTATGTACTTGAGTATGACAATACAGAATAAACAAGTAAGTACCTACAATTTTTAATTAACTTGTTATTCATTATATATGTTAAGTGTAACAAATAAACATTTATCCTGTTTTACAACTTGTTCTAATTAATTCCTTCCAGACACTAACTACATAAATGTCACTTTTTGAAGCAACTTACACCTTTACATTACAAAAATATCAACAGTTGTTGAAGATAGCGGCAAACCAATCAACCGATATGGAGACCAAGGACGAAATGGTAACGTAACCAACAAACTAAATTTAAACATTTTTTTTAACAAACTCTTTATTGTAGATTTTAGCGCGACCTATGAAACATATTTTACAAGCGGGACCAGAAAATCGTAACATTTTGAAATTATTCGTTAGTTCTTTTAATAATTGGGTTAAGTGTCCCAAAGACGCACTGAAAGTCTGTGCCGACATTGCAAATGGGTTACACGAAATCAATCTTGTGTAAGTTTGTCTTGTATTCATAGATTTATTTAGTCTTTCCTGTTCCATTTCTGACAGACTGGATGATGTTCTGGATGGAACGATACTTCGCAGAGGACTTCCTTCACCACATATGGTTTATGGAATTCCGCTAACTGTCCAGGCCACACTATACAAGATTTTTCTAATAATGCAAAATTTACTGTGCTATGCAGACGACAGGAAGGTGATGTTGAGAAAACCGATAACTAATCTTGGAATTTTTGTGTTTGCTTTATTATTGTTTCTGTTCTTATTTAGGACATCGCCCTTGATGATTTTATTAAGCTGGGTATTAGAGTTTTCACTGGACAAGGACTAGAAATCTATTATAGAGACAGTCAGCGATGTCCTACTTTTCACGAATACAGCACTTTAATACGTGGCAGTAAGTAAAATTTGTAATACATATTTTAGTCAATTTTTTTGCTGCAAAATTTAGAATCTACCGATGCTTTAAAATGGGAAGTCCAGTGGTTAAAATTTTGCGCCAAAAAGGAGAAAATGGAATTTAGTGAACATCTGTACCATAAAATGGGCCTAGTTCTTCAACTTTATGGCGACTACATTAATTTGCATAACGCTAAGGTTAGGAAACTATTTATAGCTTTTAAATTTTGTTTACACGATTTTACGTTTAAGTACGCCACTGTTCGTGGTTTCTGTGACGATCTTGACGAGGGAAAATTCAACTTTCCTATAATTCATGCCATTCAAAGTCATCCCAACGATCATCGGCTTTTGGGTATCCTTTACGCACAATTCTTCACTACGATTACGTTTTATTTTCTTAATTCTCCATCTTAGATATGTTAAAACGAAGACCACTGGATATGGAAAGTAAGAAACTCTTTTTAGACATCCTGGAAAGTTTTGGAAGTTTTGAGTACACACGAAAGGAATTGGAAAAGTTGAAAAATGGGATTCTGATTGATGTAGACAACATGAATATGGGAAAAAATCCACAATTGGAACGAGTTCTGGAAGATGTGTTGGGTAATTTGGAAACGGAAATCTATTACGATGGTTGTGACTAAAAAATGCAGAGTAGTTGTGTTTAGAACGACCGTTTTCTGTGTATCTATTTCTATGTAATGTATTTACTTTTTTAAGTTATTTTTAATATATAATTTGTAAGGGTTCGCAAATAAGTTTCATGCATTACAGGTAAAAATTATATGATGAGAATGATTTAAAATTCTGAATAAAACAAATGCATTATGTATAAAAATGAAACCCTAGAGGAAATTAACAAAATATACAGGTCGCTAGAATGTACGCAAACGGTTAAATTTGCCTTCAAGATCCAAGCTCAACTCAATTTTTTTAAATGGCACTTTTAATTTTTGAAATGCATTTTTGAACACAGTTTTTTTTTTCTGAATTCATTCAAATCATACTTTCTTTCTGATTGAAATGGCAAAATAAATTGTTAAACAATAATTAAATAAATTAACCAATAATAACCGAAACCAACATTAAACTTCTGTTTTCTAAAAAAGTTGTTCAAAATGCTCTCCATTTACTTCCTCGCAGTAAAAAAGCCGCTATTAATATAAACGCGGAAACTTGAAATATCGAAAAATTTAAAATCGAAAAATCTAAAAATGAAGAAATGAAAATTGTAATATTAAAACCTGAAAACCCTAATTAATTAAAATCGGGAAAGTGAAAAATCGAAAAAACGAAAAACAAAAATTTCTATCAATGAAATAATCAAAAATACAAACAATTTTAATTTGAGTTGAAAAATTGAATTGTATAATTGAAAAATCGAAAAATTTTAATTATGAATTAGCATTCTGATTCTGGAAAAACCATTGGAGTTAACGAAGAAAAGAAAGCGGATATGACTTCTGCGACCTGTAATTTACAAGAAAATGCATTTAGTGAACTTTCGAAAATTTCGTTGAAAATTGGTGGTACTTTACCTATTTTTATAAATTTCAAAGGACGATTCTGGAAGAACCCTTGGAGTTATTGAAGAAATGAAAGAGGATATGACTTCTGCGACCCTAAATCTACAAAAAAATGCATTTGGTGCAATTTCGAAAATTTCGTTGAAAATTGGTGGAAAATTGGTGGTATTTTGCATATTTTGTACATTTCAAAGGACGATTCTGGAAAAACCGTTGGAGTTATCGAAGAAATGAAAGCGGATATGACTTCTGCGGCCCGAAATCTACAAGAAAATGCATTTAGTAAAATTTCGAAAATCTAGTTGAAAATTGGTCGAAAATTGGTGGTATTTTGCATATTTTTGTACATTTCAAAGGACCCTTCTGGACAAACCATTGGAGTTATCGAAGAAATGAAAGCGGATATGAATTCTGCGGACTTTTATCTACAAGAAAATGCATTTATTGAAATTTCGAAAATTTTGTTGAAAATTGGTCGAAAATTGGTATTTTGCATATTTTGTATATTTCAAAGGACGATTTAGGATAAACCATTGTATTTATCGAAGAAATGAAAACGGATATGATTTCTGCGGCCCGAAATCTACAGCAAAATGCATTTAGTAAAATTTCGAAAATTTCGTTGAAAATTGGTGGAAAATTGATGATATTTTGCAAATTTTTGTACATTTCAAAGACGATTCTGGAAAAACCATTGGAGTTATCGAGGAAATGAAAGCGGATATGACTTCTGCGGCCCTAAATCTATAAGAAAATGCATTTACTAAAATTTCGAAAATTTCGTTGAAAATTGGTAGGAAATTGGTGGTATTTTGCATTTTTTGTATATTTCAAGGGACGATTCTGGAAAAACCATTGGAGTTATCGAAGAAATGAAAGCGGATACGAATTCTGCGGTCCGAAATCTACAAAAAAATGAATTTAGTGAAATTTCGAAAAAAGTGCAAGAGCTCCAAAATAAAAATCGAAAAAGAAAGATAAAATTAAAATATTAATGTGTAAAAAAAAGTAATTTTTCTTTCATATTTTGCATATATTTGCATATTTTAGCAATTTTTTGCATATAAGGCCAAATTTCTCTGCATATATGTATATGCGCATATTGACGTGTTATTTTCTGGATATAATTCCGAGCTTTACTGATGAATCACCAGATGCGCTGAAATTCAAATTTATGATCGATGACAGCTGTCTACCAAAATGGCAATGTTAACTTGATGATTTTTTTAAATGGACACTCGTTATTATAAGTAGGATCTTTACAAATCACAGTAATAGAACTATCTACCGCGATTACTCACCTAGAAGATGCTAAAACGAATATGGTGTATATGGCTTGTTATTTCAACTCTTTATCTCTCTAGTCTTAATATATATAAATCTCGTGTCACAATGTTGGTCCTCAATGGACTCCTAAACCACTTAACCGATTATAATAAAATTCGCACACCATGTGCAGTTCGATCCAACTTGAGAGATAGGATAGTTTAAATCTCAAATTATAGTCGCAATTTTAATTTATTGCTAATTATTTGTCTGTTATTATTTGACAGTCACAATTATCTGTTAACTCCAAATGATTCTAACAGATGTCGATACCTTTCGACTGGGTTGAGTAAGTAATCAATAGATGGCGCTGCTATGGTAAATCTACGAACGTGTCATATAAGCTACATTTTAACAGCATAATTACCACGTGTTGTTGACGCTATAAAATTAATTAAATTTATTTTGTAGTGAACGAAATATTGTGTTCAACGTACTTCCCCTTCAAATCTCAATCCAGTGAATTTGTATACCAACATCAACATTTTCGTCTTTGTTCGTAAATAATTTCATTGTACTAAAGGGTTATAGTAGTAGAAAGTCAAATAAGGAGATCACCATATTTTTTTACAAATACCATCTGTGTGAAAAAGCATAGTGGACTCCGTGACTGATGTTCTCTTATTGTTCCTCTTAGATTGTTTACTATAATGTAATATAACAAAAACTTTAGCCACAGCAACGCGTGGCCGGGTCAGCTAGTGTATTATAAAGATTACTGAAAATACCCCTGCAAATATTGGTATCCTATCATTTCTATGAACCTTATTTTTAAAATATTTGTGGTTGTTCTCTACGTAGCACAATTCATAGAATTCTAGTTTCACTGATTAAACTAAGTAGTTGATAAAATCAAAGTTCTAAACCCGCCCAAAATATAGGTTTGTCGCAAGCAGTTTGAAATTAACATGAATTAACTTATAATTGGCGACTTTTACAACGAGTGCAAACAATAATTGGAAAGCTCTATAATACCAGAGATTATAATAATAATAAATGGAACAAATAACCATCTATTCGGTTTGAAAACTTGTTCCCGACACTATATATACGCCACCTTTCCAATGTTTTTTACACGTTTAGATCAAAAAAGTACCAACAATCGTTGAAGATGGCAACAATTATCAAAACTGATATACAGATCGGAGTGGAAGAGGTAATGTAGCCACCTAACTAAAATTAATTCTATTTTGACAAAGTCTTAGATAATAGCACGACCTACCGACCATATTCTACAAGCGGGACCAGAAAATCGTAACCTTTTGAAAATATTCGTTTGTTCCTTTAATAATTGGATTAAGAGTCCCCACGACGCAGTGAAAATCTGTGCCGACTTTAGAAATGCGTTACACGATGCGACGATTGTGTAAGTTCAAGTTGTACTCATAGAATTCTTTACAATTTATTTAATGAATTTTCTGCAGACTAGATGATATTCAGGATGGAACCATTCTTCGTAGAGGACTTCCTTCAGCACATATGGTTTATGGAATTCCGCTAACGATTCGTGCTGCATTGCACAAGACTTTTCTAATAATGCAAAATTTACTATGTTATGCAGAAAATAGGAAGGTACCTAATGTTGAAATTTTTGTGCCCGTTTTATACTTTCCGTTCTCATTTAGGACATCGCCGTTGATGATTTTATTACGTTGGGGATTAGATTTTTCACTGGACAAGGAATGGAAATCTATTTTAGAGACATTCAACAATGTCCAACTTTTGACGATTACAAAGTACAAGTTCTTGGCAGTAAGTAAAATTTTTGTTTTCTTGTACATGTCACAAATTAATTTTTTGAAATCGATTTTAGAATCTAACGCTGTTTTAAAGTGGGGAGTCCAGATGTTAGAATTCTGCGCCAAAAAGGAGAACACCAACTTTAGTGAAGATCTATACACTAAAATAGGCCTCGTTCTTCAAATATATGACGACTACCTTAATTTACACAGCGCTAAGGTCTGGAAATCATTTACAGTTTTTAAATTGTGTTTAAAATTGTCGTTTCAGTACGCCACAGTTCGTGTCTTCTGTGACGATCTTGACGAGGGAAAATTCACCTTTCCTATGATTCATGGCATTCAAAGTCACCCGAATGATCATCGGCTTTTGGGTATCCTTTACGCACAATTCTTTATCCAAGATTACGTTCTATTTTCTTAATTCTCCATTTTAGATATGTTAAAACGAAGACCATTGGATATGGAAAGTAAGAAACTTTTTGTCGACATACTGGAAAGTTTTGGAAGTTTCGAGTACACGCGACGGGAATTGGAAAAGTTGAAAATTGGAATTTTGACTGATGCAGACAGTATGAATATGGGAAAAAATCCATATTTGGAACGAATTCTGGAAGATGTGTTGGGTAATTTGGAAACGGAAATCTATTACGATGGTTGTGACTAAAATATACATATACATGATTCCTTAAAGTAGTGGTGTTTAGGAAAGAGTGTTTTCTATGTATTTATTTCTATATAATTTTTAAATAATGTAAGTTTCATGAATCTTGTGTTTTGAAAATGTAAGTACTACAGCTAAAAATTGGATTAATATATTTATTTTAATTCATAATTGGTGAAACCTTAAAAGAAATTAGGAAAATATATTATTCTTATACACAGACATTATGGAATTCCTTTCTTTAAATTCAACATCTTCTACATATGTAACTTCTAATTCTTAGAAAAATTATATGTAGATCGGCCAGGATATTTACCGAAACAAGTCAACGGGAATACTTTACATCGGGAGAATGTTACGTAGACATTTGTTTGATTTGAATGAGTTTATCGCGGTATTTTGAAGGTCGTTTCTGAAAACACTGTTGCAGTTGTCAAAGAAACAAAGTCGGGAGTGAGTTCTAGATACATATTTTTTGTTTGGAGATTTTATTGGATTTTAAATGTTTTTTTTTTAATTTCTTTTAAACTTTCATATTATTTTAAATTCTGGTTTTATTTCAAAATGTTAATAATTTCTTGTTAATGTAATGGAATGTTTGTTAAAGCCCCAAGGTGAATTGTAGAGATGTTGTAATTTTTCTCAAAATATTCATATCAAAAATTTGAGTTTTTCTCTTCTAATATTTTTTTTCGTATTTCCGTGTTTTTAAAGCCGAACTTTTGCTCAAAATCGTAAAGCTTTTCCTAATATAGTTTTCGTTTTTTTTTCCCAGATGTTTTTACTATTTTCAATGTTTTGTCAAAATCTGGACGTTCCTTCTTACGATATTGATTTTGTGTTGAAAAGTGGATTTTTCTGTTTCTCACTTGTTAAAATTTTATTCGTATAAACTTTGCAGATTTTCCTAGTAGATTTTTCTGTTTCTTGTTTTAGATTTTCGCCTTGTTGTCATTTTTTCAAAACCTGTGTTTTTAAGCTGCACTTTAATCGAAATCGTGAACGTTTTCCTGATATATTTTTTGTTTGCTTTTTTGAAGATTTTATCGGATTTTGATTGCTTTTTTCAAAATCTAATTCTTAACATTTTTGTTAACTGGTTTTTTTTGTTCTCATTTTTTTTGAGATTGTCATGTTTTAAATTGTGGGTTTATTTCAAGATGTCAAATTCTTGTTAATATAATTGAATGTTTGTGAAAGCCCCAAAGTGCGTTATCGACATTTTGCAATTTTTCTCAAAATTTTCATATCAAAAATTCAACTCTTTCTCGTCAGATTTTTTCTTTTTTTTCATATTTTTGTGTTTTTAAAGCTGAGCTTTCCGTTAATATCGTAAAGATTATAACCTCTTATCTTCTTTTTACGCCGGTGCTACTTTCGGAGAGCGGGTTCTTCTCGTGGTGGTTGCACTTACCGTGGATTCAACTTCGTTGCTAAACTCTTCCTAACCAAAAATAATAGGGCGCCACTCAGTCGTTATGGTGGAAAGGAGGGTTGGGGGGACTGAGACCACCCAACTTCACCAATGCTCTTTTTATTTAATATATAATAAATTAAATCGACTAATTAGGTACATTATAAAAAAACTATCAAAAAAATGTGGTGGGCAGGAGTTCGGTTGGTTGTAGCGTTTAGCAGTCCATGAACGCGGTTAATTTACCTCCAGGTTGGCGGTTCGACAGACTTACCAGGATGACAGGATGACACCTCTCCTTGACACTAACTCTTCACCCTTTTTTTAGTGAACAACGACACCCTAAAACTTCCGTGTCTTTTTCTCTCGACCTTCTCTCGTCGCCGTCTCAAAACCCGAAAGCCACGCTCTTCTCGAACCTTCCATCTCCTACCCCCCTACTCTCTAAATTGCGCGCGCTATTTAAATTGTGGTAACATTTTCATGTTACACTACCCCCCTCCTAAAAGAAAAAAATATATGACGTGCAACGAATATATTTTTTAACAAAAAGAAAATTCCGGAAAAACCTCTAATGAAACAAAATTGCAACACCTTATTACAAAAAAAATATGTTGTCGGGAACACTTTCGCTTTCGTCCTTATAATTGGGTAACTTCGCGTACCGAACGGTTAATAACATAGAACGGGTATTAACTGAAAGTCATTTGAATGACGCGGTAAGATGAAATGTCACAGCCGGGAAAAGTCACAAATTGGGTAGGTCGCAAATCGGGTTTCGAAAATCATTCCAACAACAATGAAAACAAAAAGAAAAAAAGAGAAAAGAAAAAAAACTAAACTGAAAATTGAAAATTGACAAACCGAAACTAAAACTACTAACCTTGGGACTCGACATCGGAATCTTCGGCCGAAATAAAGGGCTTCAAGTCCTTTATGTGCCAAACACCTATATTTGCGTTGGATTCATCCACCAGCTCATAAGCAAGCTTAGACAACTTTCTCCGTACCGTACACGGAACATAACGCGGTGCTAGTTTCTGGGCGAACGCTTTGGATGCGTTGGACAGTACTTTATTCCGTTTCCACACTCGATCACCGACAAAGAATTCAACATCGCGCTTCCGTAAATTGTACGTTCTGGTGTTCCTAACATAAGCCTTATTCAAGCGCTTCATGACCCCCTGAAAAATACTTTGAAGACTCTCCAAGTCTCTAGCGTACTTCTCTCGGTCGTAAGCTGTAAGAATATCGGGATTGGTACAGACTTTCCCGTAAAATTCTCCGGTACACGGGACCACGCGTCCGAAATTTAAAAACGCTGGACTGAAACCAGTAATTTCACTAACAGCGGTTCTAATGGCATATCCGATCTTCGCTATCTCGGCATCCCAGTTTTCGTGGTTACCCTTAATATAGCATCGAATCGCCGTCCCTATCACACGGTTGTAGCGCTCCACAGGGTTTGCTTGTGGATGATACTTGGCTGTAAACCAGATTTTTTGGACTTTATACTCCTTACAAACTCTAATAAAATTCTTTCCGATAAACTGCTTACCGTTATCTACCAATATGAATTGTGGTACTCCATATACTAAAAAGACTTCGTTTTCTAAAAAATGCACAATGTTAGGACTATTAGCTTTTCTAAGAGGACACATGACGACGTATTTAGAGAACCAATCCACTATTACGAACAAGTACGTGAATCCCTTCTTCGATCTTGGAAGTGGCCCAATTAAATCGACTGAGATAATTTGCCAAGGAAACTGAACGATCTTTTCTTTCCCCATAATCCCCGGACGACTTACATTTGGAGCTTTCTGAGCGCTGCAAACTTGACAACTCAAAACGTACTTACGCACGTCTCTATTGACTTTCGGCCAATAATAATGGATCTTAAGTCTCGATAGGGTCTTAAAATAGCCTAAATGAGAAGAAGTGGGCTCATCGTGACATAATCGCAATACCTTAACGCGTTGACTTTCTGGAACGAATAATTTCCACTCTGGGACATTGCTTGTCAGATTGATTTTGTTCGGAAAATATTTAAAAATAAATTTACCCTCGACTTTCCATGATAAGTATTTCTGTGGATCGTCAAGAATGGTCTTTCGGATAGTGGCGTACGCTTCTTCAGTATCATCCACGGTCACATCTAAATAGGTATCGGTATCGACAGAACTAATTTCGGCGGGAAGACGCGATAACGCATCCGGAACAACATTCAAACATCCTTTCCGGTGTACTAAGTCAAACGAGAACTGGTTTAGCCTAACGCTAAACCGAGCTAGTTTACCGACGGGGTCCTTCATTTTTTTCAACCATAACAAGGAATAGTGATCAGTTATCACGGTGAAATGTACTCCTTCAACATAAGGGCGGAATTTTTCTAACGCAAAAACCACGGCAAGGCATTCACGTTCGGTCACGCTGTAATTGCGTTCCGTTTTACTTAACGATCGACTGGCGTAAGCTATAACCTTTTCTTGGTCTTCGATGGTTTGGGTAAGCAAACCGCCCAAACCCGTATCTGAAGCATCGGTATGGATCGTAAAATGTTCAGAGAAATTTGGACTGGCTAAAACAGGAGCTGATACGAGTGCTTCTTTAAGCTTACGGAAAGAGAGGTCAGCGTCTTCATCCCACTCGACTTTTTGACGTTTGCGCTTTCCCTTTAATAAACGATTCAACGGCGCTATCAAAGACGAAAAATGCGGCACGAAGCGGCGGTACCAGGAACACATTCCTACAAATCGCTTTATTTCAGTAGACGTTTTCGGCACCGGATAATTGGCCATACTCTCAACCTTTTCGGGATTTGTACGGAGCCCTTGCTGATCCACTATAAAACCCAAATATTTTAAAGACGGACGAAAAAATTTACACTTGTCTAGGTTAATCGAAAGATTCGCCTTCGACAGACGTCTCGCTACGTCGCGTAGTACGGACAAGTGCTCGTCAAACGTTTTCGACAATATAATTAGGTCATCTAAGTATACGAAAACTTGCGGCTCTAGTTCTGGACCGAATAATTCATCCATTAGCCTTTGCAAAGCTTGAGCTGCATTAGTGAGCCCGAAAGGCATCACCGTAAAATGGAAAAGACCACGCCCTGGTACGGCGAATGCTGTTTTTGGTTTCGACGATTCTTCCAACGGTATTTGCCAAAACGCTTGTTTCAAATCTACCGAACTGATATATTTCGCGTCACCCAGCATGCTTAATATCCTATCTACTAAAGGCAAAGGATAATTATCCCGCACGGTAACCGAATTTAACTTTCGTCCATCAAAACATACTCTAAATTCCCCAGTAGGTTTTTTAACTAAAAGAATCGGAGAGGACCACGAACTATTCGAAGGCTCTATAACCTTAAGCTTCAACATTTTATCAATCTCACGATTCAATTCCGATAACATATACGGAGACCACCAAAACTGTCTCTGCTTGAAGGGAGTCGCGTTTCCGGTGTCAATACGGTGTGGACTAACTGTAGCTCGACTCAGTTGATCGGTGTAATTCAACTTTTTAAATTCCCCTATTACTTCTTTTATTTTCTTTCGACTATCCGCATCAAAATCCGTAGATATTAACTGATCG